AATAGTCACAATCATAAAATGTACAAATGCTCACACAAGTTACACCTCCAAAAACAAATGTATACCAGTGTTATATTCGGTTTAAAATAAATGAAGAGGAATCCACAGGAGGTCAGTTATCTCTTTTTACCTAGAATTTCTCTCTAAAACATAACATAATACACCTATTTACTTATATGTACAAATGTAGACATTTACTGACACACTATAGGGGAGTGTTTGCCTAGTGGTTAGAGCAGTGCGCTTGTTCTCTGAGAAGGTAGCAAATAACCAGTTCACCCCCACAGCCTCCACTCTGGGTCCCTGAGCAAGACCCTTAACCCAACACTGCTCCCCAGGCACTGCACAATGGCAGCCCACTGCTCTCTAGGGAGATGGGTTAAGTGCAGAGGTGAATTCTCCAGTGTGAGATCCATAAAGTTCTATTATTATTATTAATAAAGTAGCACCTACAAATTGGCAGGTTTGCAAATGTAAGGCAATAAAGAACAAACCTCCTCTTTAATGGTCATGAGATAACATAAACAACAATAGTAGATATCAGAATTGTGGACTTTGAAAAGGTGTTCATTGTTTTGTGGATATTAACACATTTCAGTTCATCTCAACATTTGTGTGGGCTACATTGCTATTGGTTCACATAAACGTCCCTTTTTCACTCCTAATGTTTATTGATTTACCGCTGCTTGCCTTCCTATTATTATGTCATCACAGTGGGGGACACGTGCAGCAGCTTCTTTAGCTCCTGGGATTAAGACTTTTTTTAACTCCTTTGTGGAAAGGTAGTAGTTCAGTGCTAAATTCACTGCAAGAGTAGAGCTCAACTAACTAATGGACATCATACACAGTTTAGTTTTAATGTAGGTAAACAGCAGCTCCTACAGACGACAAACTGGCACAGCAGAGTTTGGGTAGCAATGGTCAAGAGAAATTTTGTGCCGTAAAATAGAAGAGAGGGAAGGGGAGAGGTGCATTGGCCCAGCTAAAGGCTAGGAAGCTACTTATTCGTACTTTGTTTGGGGCCAATATAAGGTATTTGGATAACATGTGGATTTGCCTGGTCTGAGGCTTAGTATTTCTACAGAGATGAAGAATTGTGCTGTTCTTTGTCTAATGGAAACCGGCCTTAATATGTCAGAGTCAGCTTCCGGAACAACAGTCTTCAGTTATTCCGAGTGGTCGGTGAACACTAGCTGGGAAAACCACAGGGAGGGTCACTCTGTATGTATGTGAATGAAGGTTGGTGTACGAACTGTGGCCTGGTAGAACATTCCGGCACTTAGGCGATTGAACTTCACAGTGAAATGTCTGCCACAGAATTTTACTGCCGTGTTAATTCCATCTCTTATCTTCTAGAGCTGACACTAATGACGTATCAACAGAGCAATATGACACCATAAGCATTCTAAAACCGCAGGTGTTTTTCATGGTCGCAGAGGACTTTATTCACATGAAACTGAAGGATACTTTTACCTGTTCTTATCAGTGTGTCACTTGTCACTCTGGACTGACATTCATGATGCCTATAGAGCTTTTCCCCCAACCCAGCTCAACTGAGTCACATACTGGGGAACTGGGTCCTGGACTAGTCTAACGTCTGGCCAACAGACGTGAGCCTGTTTGATCAACAACATGACTCATCCTCCATCACCCTCAACAGTGACTCCCCCCAGGCCCTCTTCTTTTTACTATGCTGACATATAGCTACACGGCATGAGTGCTGTCATATAGTGAAGTTTGGAGAACACATCAGTAGTGGGAATGATAAGTTCCACTCACCTGCTAATTAGCGGCTGCCCAAGGCGTGGCTATTATTGTGTGAACACCTGAAGTGTTCTGCCTGACAAACATTGGGGAGGGCATAAATAAAACCTAGGAAGGCAGCAGCTAATCTTGCAAGTTGTGTGAGAGATTCATGCTGCAAACTGCAGATAATTGAGGACCCATTGTCAAAAAGACTGAAGAGGCAGCCAGTAAGAAATCTTACCGTTATCTAGGATCTTACTATATCTGCTCTTTAATTTAGTATGTGTAATGTCAGTGGTGTCCTTTTTTGGTTTGTAAACCTGGATTTGAAAAGGGCTGAAGTGATGTAAATAGCTTTTAGGATATGTGTATTTGTGTTGTGCTTAATGGGGTTATATTGTATGGTATCTATGGCTACATATCTGGGCAAGGTACAATATTGTGGTACGTATAGAAACAAGCTGGTGGAGTTTGGGTCATATTGCTGAGCCATTTACATCAAGACATACATAAGTATAATCTAGAAGCTTTTATTTTGTAGGGTCCCTGGAGTCTTATTTTGAAAGTCTAGCAGGGTTGTGTGTTGAGAAAAGGGTCAGACCCAGCAGTGATAGTAAATGAATATCCAATCCCTAAATCAGTCTTTTTCCCGGTTATTAGGTCAATAGATGAAGTGGCAATGGGAGTGGCAATGGGAGGCTTTTATTTTGAAATTTGCCATTGGGCGCGTTTTCAAAAGCCCCCTAGAGTGTAATTTAACAAAAAAGTGGTTGAGTTTGGGTCATAATTTTGAGCCATATGCTGCAAAAAATATATGAGCATAATATAGAGGCTTTTATTTTGTAGGGTCCCTGGAGTCTTATTTTGAGAGTCTGTCAGCGTTGCTGAGGAGGATGAGGAGAAGCAGCAGCCATGTGATGAAGAAGACCAGGAGAGGCAGCAGCAGGTAGAGGATGAAGAGAAGGAGGAGCAGAAAGAGGAGGAGGATGATGAGTAGGAGAAGAAGTAGCAGGCAGAGTGTCAGGAGGATGAAGAGAAGGAGCAGAACCAGGGGACAAGCAGCAGCAGCAGGAGGAGGACGGAGAAGAAGCAGCAGGAGGAGGATGAGGAGAAGAAGCAGCAGGAGGAGGAGGAAGAGGAGGAGTAGGAGTGGGAGGATGAAGAGAAGCAGCAGCATTGGAAGAAGATTAGGACAAGCAGCAGCAGGCGGAGGTTGAGGAGGATGAAGAGAAGGAGCAGCAGGAAGATGAGGAGGATAAGCAGCAGCAGGAGGAGGAGAAGCAGGAGGAGGAGGAGTATATAAGCATATTTGCTGTAAGCATATTTTCTCCAAATGTGTTTACACAGACTGTTGATAGCCAGCTTACTTTGTCATGTGGCGACATCACTTTATACCCACAACCTGAGATGGCCACAGCATCTATCCGACAGATGAGATTTGTCCCAGATATTGTCTTTTAACCCTAGTATAAACCTTCCTGACCAAAGCTGTGGTTTTCCCCAGCAGGTCAAGAGGTAAAGTGTGGAACCTGTTTTGCTCGCTGGGAAGGAGGTGGCGGTCACTTTGCTCCCATGGTTGCAATAGGCCGAGCGGCCCAATGCTGCTTGCGGCTTTCATTTCCACTGTTATGCTGATGATACCCAGTTCTATCTCTGTATGAATCCGGATGAAGCTAACCCATTACATAGATTACAGGCATGTCTGGAAGACATAAAAACCTGGATGACTTTCTCCTTCTGAATGCAGACAAAACAGAAGTTTTAGTCAGGACCTGTCATTTAAATCCCATATCAAAGAGGTTTCTAGAATGTCCTTTATTCATCTGCGGAATATTGCAATAATTAGAAATCTCCTGTCCAGGGGTGATGCTGAGAAACTAGTCCATGCATTTGTTACTTCAAGGCTGGACTATTGTAATTCTTTACTATCAGGAAGTCCACAAACTGTAGTTAAAAGCCTTCAGCTGATCCAAAATGCTGCAGCCAGAGTTCTGATGAAAATGAAAAAGAGAGATCATATCTCTCCTATCCTGGCTTCTCTTCATTGGCTTCCTGTTAAATCCAGAATAGAATTTAAAATCCTCCTTCTCACATATAAAGCCTTAAATGGCCAAGCTCCATCTGATATCAGAGATCTGATTGTTCCTTATGTTACTAACAGAGCACTTCGCTCTCAATCTGCAGGTTTACTAGTGGTTCCTAGAATTTCTAAAAGTAGAATGGGAGGCAGATCTTTTAGTTATCAGGCTCCTCTCCTGTGGAACCAACTACCAGTTTTAGTCCGTGAGGCAGACACCCTGTCTACATTTAAGGCTAGGCTTAAAACTTTCCTTTTTGATAAAGCTTCTAGTTAGAGTGGCTCAGGTTATCCTGATCTATCTCTATAGTTCTGCTGCTATAGGCTTAGACTGCTGGAGGACATAGGGACCCCTTTTTCATCATTCTGCTTCATTCTATCTCTATTCTCCCACTCTGCAGAATCTGTTAATCAATCGGCCTGTTTTCCAGTGTAGTCCTGTTTCTCTGACTGTGACTAACTGGATGTGCTCTCTTCATCCTCTGACATGGGAGCTGGCTCGGAGCTCGTCTGCCTGGCTGTGTGTTTCCTGGACGGGGCCGCCTGTGGAGCTGGTTGACAGTTGCCTTTTGTATCTATGCTTCTTTTTCTATGTCTGCTTCTGTCTCCTTGAACCCCAGTGGGCCTCAGCAGATGGCCGCTCACACTGAGCCTGGTTCTGCTGGAGGTTTCTTCCTGTTCAAAGGGAGTTTTTCCTCTCCACTGTCGCTACAAGCATGCTTAGTGTGAGGGATTGCTGAAGAGTCAATGAGTCGATGCAATCAACTGGTTTTCCTTAGATAGAAAACTTTGAATCAATCTGACTGGATGATCTGGTGAACTGGAAAGTGACCTGAGATGACATGATGTGAAATGGCGCTATATATATAAACTGAAAACTGACTTGAATTAAAGAGCTAAAGAGGGGAAGGACTACTCCAGACACAATCTTGATTTTTTTCTTTTCATAATTTTGTGAGGAATTTCTTTTCAGTCTATCTGCATAAATATGATAAGACGAAGCAGGATGTTATGTTTAACTGTGAGCTGCATATGCAGATAAAGGCAGGATCAAGGATGATCAACCACAGAGGAGGGGAAACAGAGGATATACAAAATGATAAAGAAACGAAAAGCACACATGTAGAATAATAAACAGTAATTGCCAAGAGGAAGATGGAGGTTACTAGTTTCTTACATTTAGCTCTTCTGGAAAGCACGGAAGCTGCCGCTTTGCTGACATATCCAACATGGCTGTAAAGGGTTCCAGTGTGTGGCTGGTGTGGAGGATGCGGGCTTGGATGAAGTGAAAAGCACGAAGCATCCAGCTATGTTGCCGTCGGATCTGCCTCTGGAGTTGATCCCACTGGCTTTCAACCATATGGAGGATGTCCTCAAGAGCTGGAGGGATAAGAACAGAAAAATAGGGAGTAAGAATAATGTCAGACCACATAGAAAAGTCAGAGAGGTCAATATTTACCAGCAGGGGGAGTGTTGGCCTAGTATAGGGAGAGTGTTGGCCTAGTGGTTAGAGGAGTGTGTGTGTGCTCTGAGAAGGTTGCAAGTACCCCACAGATATAATCCCCTCAGCCTCCACTCTTGGTTCCTAAACAAAACCCTTAATCCCAGAATGCTCTCCATGCGCCCCACTGTGGCAGCCCAGTGCTCCCCAGGGAGATGGGTTAAATGCAGAGGTACATTTCTCCAATGTGAAATCAATAAAGTTCAATTATTAAAAAGAAAAATAATAGAATAGAAAAAAACCCTTTACTGTCCCACAATGGGGAAGTTATAGAAAAATGTATAAGAATAACATAATAGTGAAAAGATAATTACTCCTGTACTGCAAAGTATTTTAACAAAACAAAAACTGTAACTGGAGAATAAATAACAAATATACAGCTGTGGACATTTTTACAGTAATTTAAATGGCTGAGGTAGAAACTGTAAAAAATCAGCATAAATTTAACAACTTTTTGAGGTTGTCGGGAACAGTGGTGGTTATAGTCTTCCAGCTGCTGGGAGGAAGGATCTGTGATAACGCTCCCTGGTGCATTTAGGGTGCAGCAGTCTGTCACTGAAGGAGCTCTCCAGTTCAGCACCAGCTTCATGCATGGGGGGTGGGAGACATTATCCAACAGAGATGTTCATTTAGTTAGAATGACAAAAAAAAAAGTAGTATACCCTTTTCTTTGGTAAACTAGAAAATAGCTCCAGGTAAAGTAAAGAATCCAGTCTCATGGTCAAATATAGACATGAGAATCGTGTTGTTTGTCAGTGTCACCATCTTAGCACTGATTCACCTGCCTAGCTCCATCCAGTTTCTCATACTGCTCATGTGTTTCACCTGATCCAGTCTCTATCTAACCTGCCTTCTTCGTGTCATCAGTGCCAGATTATTCAAGCTCTTGGTAAGAGTCTTTTATCGGATATTATTGTTTCTGATTACCTGCCTGTGCACCACTGAGCCTGCCTGTTACCCTTCTGATCTGTTTGCCTGACCTCTCTTGTGCCTCCTGGTAATTTCTGCTTGTATTCTGTACCTGGAACTGCTTCCTGACACCGTCTGGATTTCCCTTCGGTATCTCTTTGGATCTTCTCACCCTGACTCCAGTGAAACTCCTGGACACTTGCTTTGGGTTCACCTTGTGGATTGTCCTGCCGTCCTTCATCTGCTCTGATCTGATTACTGTCTGTTCTTCAGTCTTCGGAGCTTCAACCTCTGGGACTCTCTGGCCAGCGTTCGCCACATCTTTTCGGCAACCAGTCGGCTGGAATCTATCTTGTCTTCAAGGCACAGACTGAACTTTAAGACCAAGTTAGTGACTCGCACGTTTATAATCTTCCTCTGCCAGAATAACATGCTCGCTAACCTGTGTTTTCTTCCTGCAGTGGTTCCTGCCTTGGAAGCCCTGACTGTTCACTGCAGATCCATCGTTTTTAATAACTAGTTTTTGAGATATCATACTGTTTGTCTGTCTGAATACTGGGTTCTATGTTGTGAACTTTGACAGAATAATCTGATCAAACATGGACCAATCGACAGACAGACAATGGCGTTCAGACATTGAAAAGTATTACTCAGCTCGAATCAGGCATGCAGGAAGATCTAACTCATTTGCGTAATCAGGCTACTGGGAGGGCCAGAGGGTTTGGCTCTCCACCAAACAGCTGCCCTTGAAGGTGGAAAGTAGGAGGCTGGCACCTCGGTTCATCGGGCTGTTCCCCATTGCTAAAGTATTGAATCCATTGATCTCCAGCTCCCTTGTTCCATGATATATAAAAAAGGCACTCCAAAAACGCTGTTTCAATGTGCCAGCTGATGTGCACTAGCAAACAATTTTATTAAATTTTTAATTGTAGTGCAGGTACGCATAATGGGAGAGACTGAACCCTGAGAATATTTTGTTTTAACTAGTCTGTTAATTTTACATGTATGTTTAATTCTACTGGAAGTAACATAATTTCGGACTTTCGGAGGTGTAAACAGGACACACAGCCCATCATCATCAATGGGGAAAGGGTGGAGATGGTGCCAGTCTTCAGATTCTTGGGCACCCACATCAGAGAGGACCTGACGTGGACTTCCAACTCCACGGCGATCCTAAAGAAGGTGCAGCAGAGACTGCACTTCCTGAGGACTCTCAGGAAGAACAAACTACGACCAGAGTTGCTGCGGACCTTCTACCGCTGCACGGTGGAGTCGGTGCTGAGCTGCGGCATCTCGCTGTGGTTCTCCAGCTGCACTGCAGCAGAGAAGAAGCAGCTCCAACGGGTCATCAACACCGCCCAAAGACTGACTGGCTGCCCTCTCCCCTCCTTGGAGGAGATTTACTCCACCCGCTGCCTCAGGAGAGCCCGCAGCATCATCAGGGACCCCTCACACCCTGGTCACCATCTTTTTGAACTGCTCCCATCTGGGAGACGTTTCAGGGCAATAAGGACAAAAACAATCAGACTGAAAAACAGCTTCTTTCCTAGAGCTGTTGTTGCCCTGAACGCCTCACACAAACTGTAACAACTGTAACTATCAATAATGACAGTAACACTAAATGCAATATGCTACCTCACGTGCAATAACCTGTACCTGCTACCTCAGGAGAGCCCGCAGTATCCCTTTTTTTTTTTACTTTTTCGTATTTATTTTTCTTTTAAATTTGCACTAAATGCTTATACTGTTTTTTTGTTTTTTTTTTAAGAAATTTCGTTGCACCCCTGTGGAGCAATGACAAATAAAGAATTCTGATTCTGATAATGGTAGAGTTGCCCAGTCAGAGTGTACGGCTGATCCCTTGGTTTTAAAACTGGTTTTGACTTTTTCTTATACAGTATTTAAGATACAAGAGTTGGTGTGGCCATGCTTAAATGAGAGTCTACGAGACCAAAGTTAAACAAAAAATTTAATAAATATAACAAAACCAATAATTGTATTGTCCAGTCAGCTAATGGAGGAGGAAGAATTTGATTGGCATTAGTTTCTGGCACATGAAATTCCAGTTATTTTTCTGTGTTATTCACATGCTTTGCTCTCTTGACATTTTACCAGTTAATGGGGAACAACATTCCACTTGCTTTCCTGTGTCACAATACCGGAGGAGCTTTTATCTACATGCCTGTTGTCTGTGTTTTACAAAGTGAATCCCTGAGTTTTATTTAAGGTGGAAAGCTGAACAAGTGCATCCCTGGGTTTTTTCAAATCCTCCCAGTTCTGAAGTGGATTCCCAGTTCAGGGAGTCCAGGAGCTAATGCCAGTTCACAGCAATTTCCACAGTCCAGTATCTAAGAGACTTTTATCATGCTTCAGTGACAGATCAACCAGCCAACAGAAGTGAGGCAATTGGCAGCTCAGGAGCTTAGGGAGGACAGCACCAGTCAGGCAGCTGGCCAGGCCCAGCTCTGGAGATATGAGGACTAATGATGAATGATTCAACAGTCGTTCTAAGGACTAGATTAAAACTGCTTTTGAAAAAAGCTAATCACAAAGTGATAAAGAGCATTCCTTACTTAATCCTGTCAATGTTTTTTATTTTTATCTCCATGTTTGATTAAAAATCTGAATCTCAACTGCACTCTATGTCAACAAGATCCACAACGACATCCAGAAAAATAGACGACACCTGATTGGTTGACACAACAAAAATTGAATGAAAAGCTTGCATTATTTATCTCCAATGAAATTCCCTTTTTGTCCCTCTTGGTTTCCCTGCGTTCTATTTGCCCCTATCAACTGCTAGGAGCATGTGCTTTGCATCATTTCACTCCTCTGCATAGGGATAAACTGCAACCACATTTATTTGATGATAATAATATACTTTTTGTTCACTTTATTATGTGTCTCTATAAATTATCTGGTTATTCAATCATCCAATAATTAATTATATTTCACATGAAGGAATGTAAAAAAAAAAAAAAAACTTCCAATGGGTAATTTAATATAGACTGCATATAGCATCAACTTGTGAATGCAGCAAGGTACCAATGGCTGCCATGGCAGAGAAAAAAAAACAATGACTTATTTTAGGTAATGTTATGGTTCCAGTTTGTGGGGGCTGTTTTTGTTCTTTTTCAGTGTCTCGGTGCATCCACCAGATGGTGCCATTGTTCCGCTGTTGGCCTGGAGGGCCTCTTCCTGCTCTCAACTACTCACACCTGCCTCTCGTTGGTCATAACCATCTGAGGAGTATATGAGCAGCAGACTGTCACCATCTCCTCACCAGAGTGTTTGCCAGTATTGGGTACTCTAGCCCCTTTGAGTTTAGCTGTATCTCTACTTTGAATTTCTGTTTGTTCTGAGACCCCAAGCGCTTACCAAGTTTCTCTCTTGTGAATCTCCGGCAGGATTTCTACAGATCTAATGGATAAGCCTGGTCCTTCTAGCCTTGGAAGGAACCCTCTCGTCACGCTGAGAAAAAGGAAACAATTCTTCTTATCAGAACGCCGTCCATTTCAGGAAAACAAGCGACAGTCTGCTCCTCAGGTTCACCATAATCTGCCTGTCCGCCCTCCAGCAAAGTATCTCCATAAGAGTGCAAGCCTCCACAAACAGGAACCTTGGAGCAACCGCAAAAACCACAAAAGTGAGTCCTTGTCAAGCTATTTTCAGTATCGGCCTTTCTTCCCACGGAACTTGAACTCATCACTCTGATCTCTTCCTAGAGATTCCGCTTCTGGTTCACCAGACCGCTGGATTTCTTCAAGCTGATAAAACAGTTGTTTTTGTCTCTCTAAGCTCCAGTGTTTTTCAATAAACTTTTCCCTGCCTCTGTGAGTGCTTCTGCATGTGGGTGAAACACTTAAGACCCATCATGACAGGTAAAGTCTAAGTAGCATCTCCGTAGACATCAAGATTTTGATCAGAATCAGTTTTAAGGAAATTAACTATTTTGATTTTTTTTTTATACTCTTTGTATTTTTCTTAAAAACACAAACAAAATAGAACAGAATAGGTCACTGTTCAAAAGAGCATAACAAATATAAATAACACACTGGGTTAACCGGAGACTTCAAACCTTTTCATATATTCATTTCAAATTCATTTAGAACAATATACACTCACCGGCCACTTTATTAGGTACCCCATGCTAGTAACGGGTTGGACCCCCCTTTGCCTTCAGAACTGCCTCAATTCTTGGTGGCATA